AGAAAATTACACAAACAATTTGGGAATTATAGGTTCATCACCACTGGAGTAAAAAGTTATAGACCATTTCTCACCCTCAATTATCCACTGGTTCCCTGTTGTGCTTGAGCCAAATACTTGGTTTCCTTGCATGCTTCTCTGACTTCTACTCACCACGAATGAATGCTAAAGAATGCCAGCCAGGAATGCCACTGGCCAGGTTCTTGGTGAATACCTTTGAGGGCAATAATATATGTTTACATGTAACTCATAATTAATCATTAAACTTCCTTTTGAAAAATAAAAACACATTTGGGGGTATATTTTACTGTCTGGGGGGCCAAGAAATGACAGGATGGGAAGAGAGAAGAAGCAAGTATGGTGGGGGTGATTAAAAACATTTGACTTGGCTCAAAATAAAAGTACATATTTCACACATATTTTTAAACCAGCCCCAGAAGACAGCCTGACTTCGAACACACTGAACAGGAAGCCATTTACTGCTGGAATGCTTGCCGAGCCCATCCAAAACACACATGCTCTTAATACCTCTGGGCTATCTAAAAAGGGTTGGGGTGAAAATATTTAATTTATATGTGCAATCCTGCTTCCTGTTTTATTTTTCTCCTCATTGCCAATTATGTTTTTCAAACTTTGTGAAAAATGATAGGAAACCTATTTCAGTTTCCCCTCACCCGTTATTGACCCAGCTGTATGTTCTACCTCGATTTATAGCTCATGCCTGGCTTGAAGACCAAAGAAAGAAAGGTAAAGACGGATATGAAACTCTCATGGTTACTGTGGCTAAAAAGGAATCTGGGTGGAGAAAAAGCTTGCCCTGGTGTTGATATCAAGGGCAAGAGGGTGTGGAACAGGGGCTTGCCTTAGCTCTCAGAATGTGTGCATTCAGTAGCATGCATTCCATAAAGGGCAAAAGGAAGGGTATAGAGAAAAGAGGGGAAGAGAAAGAATTTTCTAAGTATCAAATGAGTGACTGGAGACACCTGAATCTTCTTTAATGTCACAGGAACAGTCTTGGTTATCAAAAGGAATTTTAAATGTCATAGAAGAAAAAAGAGAAAGTTCCAAATGATTACAAATTAGAATTCAAGCATAATATTTTCTAAAGCTTTATTTAATGACATTAGAGTGCATTATACTTGTTATTACATGGAAGGTATGCCTTTAAAATGAAATAAATTCCAGATGGGTGTACTTTATATAGCATACCTGTTACTCTTATTAGCATATTTTGATTTCTTGAGAATGCTGAGTCAATGTGCAATGAAATATTTGAAGGAAAATCTAAGACCAGCTGGAAATCCAGCAAGTTTGAAGTTCAGATTTTAAAATTCTTGAAATCAATTTGATTTCCCCAGAAAGCTTACCCCACCCTACGGACAGCCATCATATGAAAGGCTTTTTATTGACCTTTTTTTTTAAATACTTCAAGGGAAGGGGGGAATATCTGCAAATATTTTAACTCAAATAAGTGCCCACATTTCAACATTGCCTCTCAAAGCTATGTTTCAATTTCATGTCAGACTCACATTCTAACTGGAATGCCATTTTGGGCAAATCCATCTGTTGTCATGGGCTCAACAATACTTTCATGTCAGGTAACCGGTTTTCCTTGAACTTTTGTTGGAAGTTTTTAAGGCAAGGCAACAAACTTTCATATTGTTGTGAAAATATTCTTTTTTAACTTTTATTTAATGAATATAAATTTCCAAAGTACATCTTATGGATTACAATGGCTTTTTCCCCCCCATAACTTCTCTCCCACCCGACCCCTCCCCTCTCCCACTCCCTCCCCCCGTCCATTCACATCAAGATTCATTTTCAATTATCTTTATATACAGAAGATTGATTTAGCATATAGTAAGTAAAACTTTCAACAGTTTGCACCCACACAGAAACACAAAGTGTAAACTACTGTTTCAGTACTAGTTATAGCATTAAATCACAATGTACAGCACATTAAGGACAGAGATCCTACATGAGTAGTAAGTGCACCGTGACTCCTGTTGTTGACTTAACAATTTGACACTCTTGTTTATGGCATCAGAAATCACCCTAGGCTCTTGTGAGTTGCCAAGGCTATGGAGGCCTTTTGAGTTCACTGACTCTGATCATATTTAGACAAGGTCATAGTCAAAGTGGAAGTTCTCTCCTCCCTTCAGAAAAAGGTACCTCCTTCTTAGATGACCTGTTCTTTCCAGTGGGATTTCACTCACAGAGATCTTTCATTTAGGTCATTTTTTTGTTTTTCCCAGAGTGTCTTGGCTTTCCATGCCTGAAATACTCTCATGGGCTTTTCATCCAGATCCGAATGCCTTAAGGGCTGATTCTGAGGCCAGAGTGCTGTTTAGCACATCTGCCATTCTATGAGTCTGCTGTGTATCCCACTTCCCATGTTGGATCGTTCTCTCCTTTTTTTATTCTATCAGTTAGTATTTTCAGACACTAGTCTTGTTTATGTGTTCCCTTTGACTCTTAGTCCTATCATTATGTGTCTTGTTTATGTGTTCCCTTTGACTCTTTATTTTTTTATTATTTATTTATTTATTTATTTTGACAGGCAAAGTGGACAGTGAGAGAGACAGACAGAGAGAAAGGTCTTCCTTTTGCCATTGGTTCACCCTCCAATGGCCGCCGTGGCCGGCAAGCTGCGGCCGGCGCACCGCACTGATCTGATGGCAGGAGCCAGGTACTTATCCTGGTCTCCCATGGGGTGCAGGGCCCAAGGATTCAGGCCATCCTCCACTGCACTCCCTGGCCACAGCAGAGAGCTGGCCTGGAAGAGGGGCAACTGGGACAGAATCCGGTGCCCCGACTAGGACTAGAACCCGGTATGCCAGCACCGCAAGGCGGAGGATTAGCCTAGTGAGCCGCGGCACCGGCCCCCTTTGACTCTTAGTCCTATCATTATGATCAATTGTGAACAGAAATTGATCAATTAGACTAGTGAGATGGCATTCAACTTTATAATAATGCAGTGTATTATACCCTTTGTCAAACCAGCCCTCAAAGCTTATAAGCAATACATGTGATAAAAATCTATTTGCCTTGCTAACTTACAAGTTCTGCGTGGCCACAGATGTACATTATCCTGTGCAGTTGCATTTAACATTAAATTACCAATTCTTGCTGTAACATATTTCTGCCATTTCTCATATATTTTTAACATGAAGTAGAGTGTATTATGAGGCCTGCTATCCTGACCTAGCTGTGTGCCAACTGTGGATAACAATTGTTAAGGCTGCTGCTATAAAGCTCCCAGGATCAAGTTGCAACATAAACTTGGATCACCTGTAGTAATGAGCTATTTTAATATTGTATTGAATCACCTGTGAATTGTGCCAACCAGTGGTGTGGAAAAGAGATTGATAGCAGTCTTTGATGATTTCTATGTTTTTTTTGTTTGTTTGTTTGTTTTTGTTTTTTTGACAGGCAGAGTTAGACAGTGAGAGAGAGAGAGACAGAGAGAAAGGTCTTCTTTCCATTGGTTCACCCTGAAATGGCCGCTATGGCCGGCACGCTGCACCGATCCGAAGCCAGGAGCCAGGTGCCCCCTCCTGGTCTCCCATGCAGGTGCAGGGTCCAAGCACTTGGGCCATCCTCTACTGCCTTCCCGGGCCACAGCAGAGAGCTGGCCTGGAAGAGAAGCAACCGGGACTAGAACCCGGTACCCATATGGGATGTCGGCGCTGCATGTGGAGGATTAGCCAAGTGAGCTGTGGTGCCGGCCGATTTCTATGTTATAAATATATACTGCCCTGACAATCAATTTCAAGGTTCCAAATTGATGTCACTGCATACAGGGCCAAGCTGGATCCAGCACACAACTCAAATCAGCCCAGCCCAGCCTAACAGCATGTGCAGAAGGATAGATCCACCCCTCCCACGTATACATGGTTCCAGGCACCTCACATTCTATGTCTACTTAACAAAAATGCTGAAGCCTGAGTCACCAGGATCAACTTTGGCTGAGCAGGTTTTCAGATCTACTTTGGAGAGTCCAGTTGGCCTTTGGTACAAATGAATTTTGAAATCCAAGCCTGATTAAATGAACTTTTTGAAGATCTCTCAAACATAGTAGTACAGAATAAATGTTAGCTATGGATATTTTTATTTATATTGTTTTTACTTCAAACATAGAATCTTACAACCAGACTACTAAATGATTTCCTTCCTATCACTTTTTCTCCGTGCAACCCACACAGCAACAGAAGTGATCCTTCTTATTTTTTTCAGATTTATTTATTTACTTGAAAGTCTGAGTTACACAGAGAGAGAAGGAGAGGCAGAGAGAGAGAGAGAGAGAGAGAGAGAGAGAGGTCTTCCATCTGCTGGTTCACTCCCCAGATGGCTGCATCGGCTGGAGCTGCACTGCTCTGAAGCCAGGAGCCAGGAGCTTCTTCCAGGTCTCCCACACAGGTGCAGGGGCCCAAGGACTTGGGTCATCTTCTACTGCTTTCCCAGGCCATAGCAGAGAGCTATATCAGAAGAGGAGCAGCCAGGTCTTGAACTGGCACCCATATGGGATGCCGGCACTGCAGGCTGAGGCTTTACCCGCTGTGCCACAGCGCCAGTCCCAGAAGTGATCCTTCTAAAACCTGAATCTGATAAAGGTCTTAGAATGCAAATTTGCCAAAGATTTCCAAAGTTTCCCACCAAACAGAAGCAGAATACCAGTTTATTTCCCACACCTAGAAAGACCTGCAAGATCTGGCCCCTTCCTAACTTTTTAGCTGTCTTTCTGATCCTTAGCTCAAACTTCTAACTTCCACAATATCTTTATTCTTGTTCTTCTCCCCTGAAAGCAACACTGGCTTTTTCAAAGTCATCAGATCTTGGATTAAATGGCACCACTTCACAGAGGTCTTCCCTGATGACCTAATTTAGATAACCATCAAATCACTTTTTATTTGTATGTATCTCATAAATACAACATTAGCAACATAATAATTCTTCCCACTGTACCCACCCTCCCACCCATTCCCCCTTCCTCTTCCTCCTCCTTCTTCTGTTTAGTCCTAGAAAGAAAAAGAAACAGAAAGAAAGAAAAAAAGGAAGAATGGAATTAAAAAAACTCAAAAGTCTAGACAAGGGCTGTTCTGTTGTTGCTTCTCAAAGGTGATTTCGCTTTTCCCCCCCTTTCTCTTTTCCCTTCCTTCCTCCTCTTCTTTCCTTTTAGAAAACTTAATTGTCTTTAAAAAAGAACCCAAGGATGATACATCTTTTGTGAGCTCTTAGACATAAGTATAACTTATGAGACATAATGATATCCCCATTTAATACACTAAAAGGAAGTGATTCTTGAGAACAAGTTTGACTATTAAGTCTCATGATACAACTCTTTAGGGACAGAGGTCCTGCATGGGAAGTTGGTGCACAGTGACTCTTATTGTTTATTTAACAATTAACACTCTTATGTATGACATCAGTAATCACCTAAGGCTCTTGACATGAGCTGCCTCAGCTATGGAACACTTTCTATTAACTCATTTTAATCCTCTGTGGAGCAGTGTCATCCTTATCTGTGGTTTCCATTATTTATTTATTCATTTGTTTTATGTCTTTCCTACCAAAATATAAGCAGAGATACTATCTTGCTGACCATTGTATTCTTCGAGCACCTAATTTGTAAAACATCTATTAAGCTTACAAACTGTACAGATGGTATGCAGGTATTGTATATTCCTTGCAATGGAGCCTTGAATTTATCCCATGTATAACTCATACATTAAACCGTGTTCTTTTCTGAAATAAATCACATCATAATCCTCACCCAATATTGAAAACTGTAGGCAACAGTATCTATGTTCCAGATCTCATCAGTTAGTTCCTATGGCAAGTCCAACCAGGGCTGACACTGTGGCATAGCAGGTTAAGGCCACCACCTGCAGCACCAGCATCCCATATGGGCACCAGTTCTAGACCTGGCTGCTCCACCTCCAGTCCAGCTCCTTGCTAGTGAGCCAGGAAAACTATTGGAAGATGGCCCAAGTCCTTGGGCCCCTGTACCCACAAGGGAGACCCGGAAGAAGCTCCTGGCTCCTGGCTTCAGATCAGCTCAGCCCCAGCTGTCGCAGCCATTTGGGGAGTGAACCAGTGGATGGAAAATCTCTCTCTGTCTCTGACTCTGCTTCTCCCTCTCTGCCTTTCAACTAAATAAATAAATCTTAAGGAAAAAAAAGAACCAATTATTTCCCAGAGTGGAAAGCCATTTGCTTTATTTTTCCCAAGTCCCAATCTTGATGTCACCAGAAATCACTTAAGTGCCTCATTATGTAAACGAGAAGTCATATACTATAAAACCTGGTTCTCTGAAATGCAGACTTTGTCATTTTAAGTATCCTTATTACAACAAGTAGACTGACTCATCTCTATTTACTACAGTAAGATAAATAGGGGGTGAAGGAGAATAAAAGCTGTTCTACAGTAATAGAGTTTCCTGAGCATGGGTGGGGAATCCTCTAAGGAACACTCAACCTTCTAGAGTCAGGATTGAAGTCATGGCATTTTGGAGCAAGTCATAGAAATGCATAGACAATTAATAGCAAGGGGTTTGGTTGAAAGTATTTTCATATATGAAGCAAGCTCCTCAGTACTATGTCTATTTAATTAGTAGAGAAAAAATTTTAAGAAAAAGAGCAGTTCATAAAATATGTTTCATAGTAAATTAGGAGTTAGTCAACTGAAGCTTGACTGTTGTAGACGTAGAGACTGATAAATTAGCAAGGGTGACTGCCAAATAGTGGTAAGGGAAACTGAGAACTTGGCAGCAGTGACTCATCTGCCATGGACCAGCAAGAGAAAAACATGACGGACACCAGAGTAAGAGAGAAGAGAGATCCAAACAAAATGAGAACATGGAGACTTGAGTGGAGACTTCCATCCACTGGTTCACTCCCCAGATGGCCGCAACAGCTGGAGTTGGGCCAGTATAAAGCCAGGAGCCAGGTCTCCTATGTGGGTTCAATACTTTTCTTGGCTCATTAGCAGGGAGATGGACTGGAAGTGGAGCAGTCAGGTCTAGAAACTCTCTGAGTTTCACTGAAACATGAAACCACCTGTAGCTCTACTTATGTATTGTTTGTAGTTGCTTCAAGTGTGAAATATCTAACAGTATCAAAAGTTGTGAAAGAACTAAATAGAATCCACTCCACAAGTTGTGTTTGACTCTGAACTCATTACTTCATTTTTAAAGACTGAACTAAAGAGCATGTCTTTTGAAATTATTGAGAGATATAACTTGACTCAAGTGGATATATTCTATATTTTTAGTCATTTATCTACTAATATAAAGTAGTTCACAATTGTTATGGTTTCATTAAAATGCTGTGTCTGTCATAAGTTCTTCTCAATAAAGAGCAGGAGGAAGTATCTCTATGTGCTCACATCTTTTTTGAGAACCCTGGATGAAATAGCATTAAAACTTTGATGTTCCGATGCTTCCACAAGCTAATGTGCAAGATGTCTCTCCAAGGGTGTAGCATAACACTTCCAGATGACCATGGAGTTCTTTCTTCTAGAAATATTTGTTAGCACCTGAAGATCATTGCCACAGGAAACTGCGCCTACAATGTTTGACACAAATGGGAAGCACCTTGACTTGCACCAACAGATGTTAAAATGTACTATGTAATGTTACACTAATAAAACAGTATGGTACAGAAAGAAAAATAAACACACCAGAAAGATAACACATGGCTCATAAATAACATTTAGTGTATTATAATAGATTTCTAAAGTTATAAGGAAAGGAGGGGTTATTCAATAAACAGTTCTGTGGAAATGGTTAGTTATTACTTGGAGAATGTATAGCATTAGTCTTTAGCTTAAATTACAGTTAACATACACTATATATTCCAGATGGGCTAAAGAGTTTAATGTTTATATTAACTGTAAAATACATTTTAAGTATATAACACATATATATGATTTACATTACATGTGATATATTATCATATACACATACCATGTATCATATGTAATATATAAAATATTAAATATATATTATTTATTGTGTCTACATCTATCTATATAAGAAGCCTTTTAAAAAAGTCTTACCCCTCTATGGGTAAGGAAATCTTATAATTTTAGATTTACTAAGATTAAGGGTTCTAGAAAAAATGTATTAAGTGCCAGCAAATGTCTTAAAAAATTGAAAAATACAAGAAATACAAAATCATACCCCAAAATTATAAAGACAAAAATTTAGGAAAAGCAGTTGCCAAAAATATGACAGATATCCAACTGAAATTTTAATGTATCAAGGATTTCTACCAAAAAATCAAATAAATAAGAGAAAGGCAATGAATGGACAACTTACAAGTGAAAATGTATAATAATAAAATATATTTTTAAAAAACTTCTACAATAGTTGTCAAGGAAGTAAAGTTAAATTGATGTTTATTAGTATAACATGCTTTAAATAAAAACTCTCAGTACCGTCAACAATGTGGTGAGATAGACAAGCTCCTAAGTTGGAAGTGGGAAGATAGAATCTTGCAACGTTTGGGGAACGCAATTTAATTGTATGTTAAATTCTCTTGTCTCTGTTTTTCTACTTCTGAGGAAATATTCAGCTGGAAAAAAGACTTAATTTTCAGTGATAGAAATGAAAAATAACCTTTTTGAACAGCATATTAATAATATCATTATATCATGATATGATAATGATATCATGTCTAACACTCACCTTAAGCCCAACACTATTCCAAATATTTGATAAACACATTCAGTTGATCTTGAAAAGAGCCCTATGAATTTGATTTTAATCTCATTTGAGAACTGAGGAAACAGAAACACAGCCATTCAGTAAGTTGCTCATAGACGCCCAGCTGTCAGTCAGCAGAGCCACAGTTCAGACCCAGGGAGTCTGACCCTGTCTATGATCTGATACCCCTACACATACCACCTCACACAGCTGTGCATAAAATGGAACATGATACAGTCATTAATTACAGTGTTTTCAATCACTGTTTAATGATGCAGGGTCACACAGTATAATTAGAGAGGAAATCACCCCACAGAAATATGCACAGGATGTTTTTCTGATTTGGTAACAGGCAAAATACAGATGAACAGAAAACATTAGAAGGAATTATCTGTAGAAGTCAAAGCTACTATTCTTGCCTGATAAGGATGTTGTGATTTTAAATTTTTAAATAATTTATGTGCTTTTTTTTTTTTTTTTACAGGTAGAGTTACAGACAGTGAGAAAGAGAGACAGAAAGGTCTTCCTTCCGTTGGTTCACTCCCCAAATGGCCGCTACGGCTGGCGCTGCGCCGATCCAAAGCCAGGAGCCAGGTGCTTCCTCCTGGTCTCCCATGCGGGTGCAGGGGCGCAAGCACCTGGGCCATCCTCCACTGCCTTCCAGGGCCACAGTAGAGAGTAGGACTGGAAGAGAAGCAACTGGAACTAGAACCCGGCGCCCATATGAGATGCCGGTGCTGCAGGCGGAGGATTAACAGAGTGCCCCACGGCGCCGGCCCCCTAATTTATGCGCTTTACAAAAGTTCTAATGAAGACATGTAATGCTTTTATAAAAATCAGAGGATAGTACAAGTCACTTTTTAGAAGACAGTAAAGGGCCTGGCATTGTGGCATAAAACTGCCACCTGCTACACTGGCATCCCTTATGGGTGGAGTTCAGTTGTTCCACTTCTGATCTGGCTCCCTACTGATGCACCTGGGAAAGCATTGGAGGATGGCCCAAATGCTTGGGCACCTGCAACCACATGGGCGACCCAGAAGCAGCTCCTGGGTTCTGTCTGGGCCAGCCCTGGCCGTTGTGGCAATCTGGGGAGTGAACCAGAGGATCTCCTCCCCGCACCTCCCCCCCCCCCCGCGCTTTCTCTCTTTCAACCCCATGTCTCTCCAAATCTCTCTCTGTAACTGTGCCTTTCAGATAAATAAAATAAATCTTAAAAAAAAAAAAAAAGTAAAAAATATTGGTAGGCTGGTGCCGCGGCTCAATAGGCCAATCCTCCGCCTGCGGCGCAGGCACACCAGGTTCTAGTCCCAGTCAGGGCGCCGGATTCTGTCCTGGTTGCTCCTCTTCCTGCACAGCTCTCTGCTGTGGCCCGGGAGTGCAGTCCTTGGGCCCTGCACCCACATGGGAGACCAGGAGAAACACCTGGCTCCTGGCTTCAGATCAGTGCGGTGCACCAGCCGCAGTGGCCATTGTGGGGGAGGGTGAACCAACGGAAAAAGGAAGACCTTTCTCTCTGTCTCTCTCTCACTGCCCACTCTGCCTGTCAAAAAAAATTGGTAGAATATACCCAGGTATAACAAAATATAAACTACCTACAAAATTCTAGTCATAAAGAGGATAATTTACATACTCTGGCCTTAGCTGACTTTCTGATTGCATTCTCAGGCTAGAACTAGCTGGCCTTAACCATACGCACAGCCATGTGAGAACTGTAGCCATGTCTTCAAGGCCATCACAGTTGATGATCTGCAGTGCTGGAGTCATCTCTCAAGAACACCGTGTCACCACTACTGCCTCAGGACCTGCCAGAGACTTAGAACTTCCATTCCCACCTACTGAAAGAAAGGAAGAAAGAAAGAAGATTTATAAAGAGAAAATTATTCTTTCCTTCATTTTGTAGTTTTATTTTTTGGCTAGGACATGACATTCCTGTCTGGAGCCCCTGCCATATTTCTTTCATCTATAACTGATTACCATGTGAAAATAGCACACTTGCCCCCTCAGTGTGTTCCGTGTAACACAGATCCAGCCCACGCTTCTAAACCAACTGAAAAACCTTATCATGTAGAACCTGCTTTTGAAACGCAAAACTGTTAAAGACAGACAAAACACATACACCTCTCTCTCTATAAAAAGTGAACACACTTTTACCAATAGTACGTCACTTTATCCTTACAACATCCCTTTAAGGGAATAAAGATGCAACCCCTAAGGCCCCTGTTGGGAGGGTTTCCAAATAAAGTTAAATTATGACTTACTTACAAACAAAAAAAGCCTGAAGTATTAAAGCTATTCGCATACCACAGAGTTTCAAAGGCTAAAAGCTGACCACGAGGAATAAAAAGCAATGCACAAGTAAACGAATGCAGGAATTATGGTTAAGGCGGATTGCTATTTGGGGTCTGGCTAAAAGATCTGCAACGGAGCCCTGGCGAAGTTAGAATGATCTCCTCACCCTACCATGGGAGATTTTCATACATACTGAATGCAAACTATTTTTTTTCCCAGTTCTTCTTGTCCTTGTCCTTATCCAACACTACTTCCAAGAAGAGGAGAAGTAGGAAGAGGAGGGGGAGGAGGAGAAGGAGGAGGAAGAAGAGGGGGAGGAGAAGGAGGAGAAGAAACAACTCTAGCTCCTAAATCACTGAATAAGAGTTTTTAAATCCATCACCCAGCTGAACACAGCAGTGGGTCTGTGGACTCTACCACCAAGGGAGGCTGAGGGAGGGAACCACTGAGTTAGCCAATCACAGCCTTTGGCTTGCCCAGAGGCAGGACAAAAATACCAGTGCTAACTTTATTTTCATCCCTGGCTGGGAACACAGAAAGTGTCTTAAAGTTTTTCTTCCTCACACCTCATAAAGAAAGAACTAGCTGGGCAATCAGTGAGGCAAAGATGACAAGGCAGAGTTCGATCTAATGAGACCTGATGGGATCTCTTCTTCTGCCCACATTTCAGCAGCAGCCCTATTCCATGGGGTGTAAAGGCCAAACCCCCTAACCTGCCCTGGGAGCCCCTCCACGGTCTGACCTTTCACGTAGTCCCCAGATCAAGCTACCAGATCCATGTGCACCTGGTACACATTTCTCAGAAGGCAACCTGCCCTGTCTGTCCCCTGAAGCTTTGTTCTCGGCTTTCTCCCAGGTGCACCCACCTTTGTGTGAAACCAAGGTAACTGTGATCGCTATGGGAGCTCCTACAGGTTAACAACTGGCACCTCACGGGCACTTTGCAGCAAGCCTGTATCCCTCCTCTTCACACTGTTTCCTCCACGAAGGAGAAAAGAGTACACAGGTGTTGGAAAACTGTGTCTCCACCGTCCCAAGTATGTGGACTTTGTGTGTTTTGTGTTTTACTTAGTATGCTCATCTAATCATTGCTTTCTTCTGCTGTTATTGTTCATGCCTGCTTTAGCCCGGTCTTACAGCCTGCCTCGTATGGCCTCTACTTGTTCCATGAACCCGGGACACTAGAGAGAGCCATCTCTCACACAGAGGTGCAGGCTTCTTGCAGTCCCTGGGAGCCTTTTAGGGCCTCTGTGAAGTCAAAATTGTTTTTATAAACAACACAGATAAGGGTTTATTTGCCCCTATGATGTACAGTGTCACAACACACACACACACACACAACTGCAGAACCACATAGAAAAGCACTGTCTCCTCTTACAGCAGACATTAAAATATTTTTAGAATGTAAGGCAATCCCACTTTTTCCACTTTTTTAATCTCAGAGAACATAGTTATTTTCAGAAAAATGTGATTATATTTATATCACAATGAGTTTACTTTTAAAGAAAGATTAAAAATGTTTTCAAATATGATTTCTAATATGGCAACTATGGATAAGTATAATCCACATAAACAAAAGCTCACAAATTGTCAACTTCCTCCAAGCTATCCTTTCTATTGACAATCACAGATTGACATTGCTGCAAGTCACTAAAAGGAGTGATTTTTTTTTTCACACAAAGGTTTCAGTAAGATATGCAGTGTGCACACCTCTGCAACAAAGCTGAGGGCACTTGGTTCACTTGTGGCAAAGTGGCTCCTGCACACGCCATCCTGCCATTCACACAGGTGCCTCGGCCACATTCCAGATTATACACATCGTGAGCATAACCAAAGGAAACTATGTTCTTGCTTCTCTTGTACAGAAAACTGCACCACACTCTTTTGTATCCTCATATGGTACTTGGTACTGACCTTCCTGTGTGTTAGGTGCTGAATGAATGTTTACTGAAAGAGATTTGACTAGAACAACATGTCTTGAATTACCATGAAGTGTTTTAGAAATATACATTTTGTTTATTAAAAAGATTATTTATTTGAAAGGCAGCATTACAGAGAGGCAGAGGCAGAGAGAGAGAGAGAGAGAGAGGAGGAGAGGTCTTCCATCTACTGGTTCACTCCCCAAATGGCCTCAATGGCTGGAGCTGGGCCGATCTGAAGCCAGGAGCCTGGAGCTTCTTCCAGGTCTCCACGCAGGTGCAGAGGCCCACGGACTTGGGCCATCTTCTACTGCTTTCACAGGCAACAGCAGAGCTGGATCGGAAGAGGAACAGCTGGGACGCAAATCTGCGCCCAACATAGGATGCCCACTTTACCCACTACACCACAGTGCTGGCCCCAAATACACATTTTCTAAAAAATGATTGACATAGTACTTACAAGATTTTCATTTCTCCTCATGCAAGTAGTTCTGCTTTCTCTTAAAGTTATCATATGAGCTTGAAAATAATAATTTCATTTCAAAGATACTATCATTCATAATTTATGATAATTATATGCTGGCCTTGTTACAAATGGTAATTATTAGTACATTATATTGTTATATTGTAATATACTAAAACAACTAAAAATTAATATACAGGTGGTGTTATACTATGTTGTGAAATGTCCTTAAAAGGTAAAGTTATTCTTCAGTAGATAAGTAAAGAGGCCGAGATAAATATTTCACAATAAGATGCTAACCTGGGCCTTGTGTGTGATACAAATCAGTCTGGAAGTGTCCTGAGGTATTCGCTTCTGGCTCAGGCAGAATCCCCATGAAAACAGCCCGGCTAATTTGAGTTAGTTCTTCTCATTCTGACGCTAATGAATACAATGAAATGGAATGCTAGAGGTAGGGAAGGGAAATCCTCATTATACCAGTGTACTAAACTTGACTCATTGTAAGTACTATTGTTTTTACCAACAAACTTGCACAACTTTCATCATTACCAAGAAACACTAGGGAAGGCATTTGAAACAGCATGGTTCAGATGCCATGTGGAATGCCTGGGTTCCAGTTCCAGCTCCACTCCCAATTCCAGCTTCCTGCTAATGAGAACTTGAGGAGCAGCAAGTGATGGCTGAAGTACCTGGGTCCTTGCACCCATGTAGGAGACTTGGATTGAGTTCCACTGTGAGCATTTCGATGGGAGATCTCTGTCTCTATCGTTCAGAATAAATTTTTAAAAAACCAAAGAAGCATGTTTTCCTACAGAGAAATGTTTACATGAACCAATTAAGGGCATACACTGGGAACTAATAATCAAATTCACATCTCACTGGTTAACTCCATCAGTTTAATTATTGTGCTATTTTTTATGTGGATGAAAACAATATTTTAAAATCTAAACTTAGACTAATTGACTATTTCTTCTTGTGATGTAAATTTGTTTTGCAACCTTTCTTTATCTTCCCCCATTATTTCAGCAAGTATGTATTAGAAGACCAACATGGGGCTGTCATTGTGACATAGAGGGTAAAAGCCTCTGACTGCTAAGCAGGTATCCCATATGGTTACCAGTTCAAGTCCCAGGTGCTCCACTTCTGATCCATCTCCCTGCTAATGCGCTTGGGAAAGCAGCAGATGATGGCCCAAGAACCCCTGCAACCATCGGGGAGACCCAGAGGAAGCTCCTGTGTCAACCTGGCTCAGATCTGGCCATTGTGGCCATTTGGGAAGTGATCCAGAGGATGGAAGATTTCTCCCTCTCATTCCCTCCTTCTGTCTCTCTCTCTCTGTAACTGTTCCTTTCAAATAAATAAAATAAATCTTAAAAAACAAAAACCAACAATATGCCAGGAAGTATGCAGGCAATAGGGATCCCAAAGTGAGCAGAATATAGGCCCCTCCTTTTCAGATTTTTACATATTATAGGAGAGATGCAGAGATCCCATAAATATTGAAGTACCAACAATGATGGGTGCTGAAAAGACAATGACAAACTGTTTTTGTGGAGCATTATAGAACCTAATTTCAATGGGATAAAAGTAACATGCTTATTAATTTATAATCATAATCAGAAGAGTACTTCCTTTAATCACTCGGTGAATATTATCACAAAATGTAAAACATATACAGTTTTTACACATATATATTCATATGTTATTTATTTTCATGATGTTTACATCTTTATCATGTGATAGAAGTTCATATGTGAGTGCAAACTCTTTTTGTAGTATTTGTTTTTTTTTTTTTATCAAAAGACATCGCCATAATATGCAGCTTTTTATGTTGATGCTGCTAAGTGAATATGGCTAGTACCAACCTGTCCTCAACCCTACTTGCAACTTCCCTCAGGCATGGCTAGCATTATGTTGCCTTACTCAAGAAACTGCAGCTGAGGATTTCCTTGCTCTTCTGACCAGGGAAGGGGAAGAATGTGACCTCATTCTCAAAACATACTTTCAGAGTCCCGGCTTTTTTAAAACATGGAAACTATTTCCATTATCAAATCAAATGTTCACATCTTCAACAAGACCTTTCTTGGTTTTAAGACCCTTTAAATTTCAGAATTAAAGAACTTTAATATGGTCTTTCATTGCCAAGAAGTAAGATTTTATGAAA